GTTCAGTGCATGGTTAATATGGGAGTTCTAAAAATTAATTTATTAGCATGTGTCCACCATGATGTGTGTGATAATGGAAACAACAAACAAATGGAGTGTAAAAAGACAAGATTAAGAAAAGAGTTGGGATTTAAAGAAACTTTGATAAGAAATAAAATATTAATGCATTTCTGGCCAGGAATAAGATTGTTTTTATCTTCCTAGATGACATTTCAGGTATCTTCAACAGGAGTAAAGAAATGTGAATAGGTGTATAAACAGCTGACTGAAGCTAAAGCCAACCCATATGAATAGTAACAGAGCACAAAGCAAAACAAACAAAACACCAAACCTAAAAATTTTAGCTGGTTCTAGCCCTGTGGAATGACTGTGAGTCATAAGGTTTGGCACAGTTCTGTTTTATAAGATCATTTTCAGAAGCAGTGGAGAGTCCAGGTCATCTATTTTGTCTGATGTCACCTCTTAGAAGCCAGGAGCTCTGCTGTGATTTTGTTAATTTTACAGTAGCTGGATGGTACAAAAGTTGTATTTAATAATGATTTCTCATCAAGGAAAACACTATCCAATATCTTTGGGTATCATGGAAACAGTAAGTTCTTCCCTGAGAGTGCGTGTGCAAGCACTGTCGGTGGGAACGTGCTACAAGCAAAAGTAGAAGCTCTCGACATCCAGCGGGAGCTGAGCTGAGATGCAGATTTTGTGTTCAGGACACTGAACTACCCACTTGGTAGCTGATCTCTTGCCTCTCTCTAGTGAGGAAACATGGAGAAAGAAGTTTGAGGTAGTTTTTTTTTTCTTCAGAATTATCACCTAGTGCTTTGTAATGGAATACTAGGTAACTGTATTATGTCCCTCTTGAGATCCCTTACTAAGTGGATACTGAAATTTTGTTCTTGATCGAGACTTTTACTCTGATGGAGTATGGCTTTTCAGTGCCCAGGGTAGTGTACATAAGATAGTAATCTGTTTTCAAATGGAATGAAGGCAATCACACAGATCCTTAATTTCTCATTGATGACGGTAAGATTTTAACTAGCAATGAGAAAGATGTCTTTTAGCAGCTGGTTCTTCCTCATTAGCTTCATCACAGTTCTGTCTGTCATTCTCACTCGCCCGTTGTTGTATACAGCGTGTTGCGTGTACCACGGCTGCTGGTTGTGAAGTGCCTGATGAACATGGGCCAGGAGCTTCCTTGGGAGCTGAAACCTGCGGACACAGGATCTGGCTTTGGCTTGCTTCAGCCTGTACGTTTGCTTATTCTGGTGGAAACAAATGCGATCACAAGACACAGCCCTGCCATAATTCTTGACGTGATGAGTGGGGTTTTGACTCACAGGAAACTGTAAGAAATAGTGTTTCTGCTCATTCAGTCCTCCTGCTTTCTCTAAGTTAGTCTTGTGGGAAAATAGGAAGCAGATAGAGCAGATTAGAGAAGCAGGTGCACGGGCAAGAAACAGCTTTGAAACTTTTGATGCTCTGGATGGGAAAAATACTTTTACTTAAAGTGATGTTCATCATGATGACGTTTTGTGCTAGAGTTTTTCCCCTTTCATCCTGTCAACTTTATATAGGAAAGATCCCGGGAGGGTATCAGTGCCAATACTGGAAAGTTTTTAGAGGCTTTCTTAAACCTCTTATTTTACAGAAATCTATTAAGTTTCTGGCTGGTCTGTCCTTTTTAAGCCTAAGCCTTTCCTAAGAAATCCAGCGATTTTCCACTTGAAAATAGCTATGGGTAAAGTCACACACTACATAAGATTAAGGGTTTGACAAGGGTAGTGGGAACAAAGAAATTCCAAATTAAGTCTGCTCCATATTTAAACCCCCCTCTCCCAGCCCCCTGTTGCACAATACCAAGCTTTCCTAATGCAAGTTGGTTGTTGATATACTTCCAAAAAGAATTCCAGTTAGCTGAGAGATGGGATTAAATGGATTAAATAGCCTCCTCATTTTTCAGTGGGAAGAAAAAAGAGTTTGGTTGAAGGCACGTATAAACGCAAACTTAAATGATTTTGGACTAGATTGGCCTTCCGAACACCCTCGGATTGCCTTGACAGTTGGTGTGCTCTTTCTTGGCGAGGCCCCGTGTGTCGGTGGTGGGTGTGCGTGCATGCAGACACGCACGTGTGGGACGGGGGGCGCGTGGAGTTTGCACTGTCACTGCAGCCATTTCAGCAGACCATGATCGTGGCTGGGAGGTGGGCTATCAGTTGGGTGGAAAAGCTGCAAAGAATATAAAAGGGTGCAGAGTACTCTGTGGCCGGTCTGTCTCCATTTAGCGAAAAACTGGTGTGCCCTACTAAGCCAGACCTGAGCCTTAGGAGAGCCCAACAACCTCCAGCCCACCAGCCTGCTCCTACACTCGCGTTTTTGGTGGCCTCTTCCATTTTGCTGCTGTGTTGTGTGGTTACTAGGTGTTACCTTTTCTTCCTCAGCACACACACTTCGTATCATATGAAAACCAACATTCCCCTTCTTTTAGGTCTTCTCGTGGATTTCTTTTCCTAAGAATTTATAAGGCATCAGCTTTGTACAAGGTACATAGATTCTCCCTAACTTACTCTTCCTGATAATGAAAGCTGTTTTTTTTTTTCAACCCTGCCTGTCATGTCTTGCTTTCATTTTTCTGACCCCTGGAGACACGAAATAGCAATAAGAAGCTCCGAACCGAAGTCTGTCAGCAGCTGATAACTTGATGTGTGGCAAATTACTGGAGTCATGACTTGTATGTGGGCTGCGTGACTATGTAGCAAACCTATCTTCATTTTGGTTGCTTCATGGCATCCTTTGTAATTTGTTGTCCTGTGAAACTTATTGGCCATTTGTTCAAGCAGCAACAGTAGTGTGTTTTTTTCATGTGTTACTAGTTTTTCACTTATATCCAGAAGACCCATTCTTTTGCTGGAAAGATACAGATACTACCATATACTTAGAGTAGCATTGATAATGAAAAAAAAAAGCAAAAAGGTGGTAGGAAGGGTTGCAGGGGGGAAGATTAATTGTAGCAGATGAAAATTGTCGGAGCCCCTAAAACTTTTTTTGGGCTTCTTTCTAATGTCTACTAATTTGCCTTAACATATTGCTGTTGTGAAGAGTCATATCTAAGAGGCTGAAGGCTAATGCATCCCAGATCTCACGCATCCAGTCTAACTGGTCTTAAGTATAAGCAGTGGAGTAATTTTGTATTATATGCATGTTTTCCATTTAAAAGCAGATTTGTTGCTGTCTTTGATTTCTATATTAATTTGGAAAGCATGCGCCAAGAGTAAAATTTGTTTCACATTTGTTTCAAATTCAAATTAAATCCCTTCACCCCCAATGAAAGAATTTGCAAGAAAAAAAAAAAGGAGGGGAGTTGGTGACCTTATCATGACTGGATCTCATCCTGATCAGGGGCCAAATCTTTTTAGCATTGAAAGGAAGTAAAAACGAGAATTAAGAACTTTCTCTGATTACCACTGGGATAACAGTGTTCTCCTCTTTCCTCTACCTGCAAGGAAATGCTTCAAAGCAGCCATTTATTCAGGCAGTGTAATTCTTATCTCTTTTACTGACTGGCTTACGTCTTTTATTTTACCTTAACACTTGGGCCTGTGTCCCTCCCACCTGATTTTATTCACTCAAGACATGTGTCTTCAGAGGGTGGTGAATGATTGCTTCCTGGAGAGGAAGAGCAGAGAGAGACGGACATATCCCAGCAGCAACGCAGCCTAAGTTACGAGTTATCTCCTTGCTCACTTTTTCTCCATCTTCATTGACTGTGTACGGTGACTTTGCTTCTAGCTTGGTGTAACAGATTAGATAAGGAGTTTAAGTACCTAAAATTAGTACTCCAGGTTTTTTTAACTGTAAGTTGACCAACTAGAGCAAAAGAAAAAGGACAAAGTAAAAATGAAAGTTAGCTGCTTATCTATGGGAGTACTTAGTAAGTGCTTGCCTAATATTCATGTCTTTGAAAATCTGGCCTCAAGGAGAATGATGCTGCACTGTGCAGAACCTGTGCAAAAGTTAGCAAACATTTGGAACGTGTTTGGAAGATTAATAATGTCATCATTTTCCTCACCCTGTGGGTTTTTTCCCTTTTTCCCCCCATAAAGCGATGCACTAGGGCTCGTCGTGTTGTGTGTTAGATAATTGAGTTGTTATGCCAACAGGCTGTGCTGAAAGGTGTTACATCAGTGATTTCTTTTTCATCCCACTGTGCTTTGATCTCCTGCTATAAAGCAGAAGATCTAACAGTGGAAACTTTTGAAGGTGAAAGATGAATTTTCTTAATCCACTTTCCATAATCCTTACGAAAAATGTCTGTCCTTATCAGTCAGAAAAGATTTAATAGCTGTTGTCTCTAGAAAGTCTTATATTATCAGGATTGCAAACTATGGAATTACTGTTATGAAATATTTTACTAGCACGTTTTGAAATGTTGTTGTAAATGCTTTAGAATAAATGAATAAAGATGCTTGTTAACCATGCTTTTGTTCATTTGCAAGAGAGCACTGTGCCATGATGAGTATTTGCTGTCCCTATTGGTGTTAATTGCCCTGCTTTACTTTCATATCATTGGAATTCACTGAAACAGTAAATTTAATCCAAATATACTAATCCCAGGCATTACATTGTGCTGAATCAAATGGTAAAAGTCACAGCTCACAAGATGTGAAGCATTGTAGCTGATGGAAGTGCTGATGGTTGCAACAGTAAGCAGTGTGTAGAATACTGTTTGCAGATTTGGGTCAATAAAATGCGGCATCTTCTAGGAAGGAACAAGTGCCTGTGCTTGTCCCTGGATGAAATTCATACATCATGCAGATGAAGTCAGTAAAGTTACTGCAGTTACCCAGGATTTTGTCCAGCACGATCTTGCCCAACATATCTTTCGTTAGTTGAGCTCCCCACATCTCTGGAAAGCCCTGCTTATGCAAAATCGACAGCAATGCTTAGGATTATAAATAGTATTCACCAGATCTGATTATATTTTCTCTCTGTTCTTTACAATAGCTTTGGGCCAGATTATGCTCTATGTCGATGGCATGAATGGAGTAATAAATCATAATGAAACCATCCAATGGCTGTACACACTTATTGGGTCAAAGGTAAGATACTCTCCAAAATATTCTTGTTTTATATTTTTTCGTGTTCTTTAAATGCATCTTATTTGTATTATGTGTGCATTTAGGGCATAAACAGACTGCATGTAAACGAGTACATAACACTCTGCATGGAAACCAGGGTGCACTGAGCTGTTACTTCTTTTCTGCTGTTTTTATATTCTTTTGTGCTGTTGGCACTTACTCTGCTCTTAAAAGCAAAGATACTAAAGATGCTCTCATTACTGTCTGACCTGCCATTGCATTTGACCATGGAGAAGATTTTTTAGTCTTGCAGTTACAGTTCCCAAGACATTCTTTGGAACGACTTTTTGGCGGTGTTTTGTTCTGCTTTTCTGTTCTATGAATGCAAATCTTTTTCTACAGTTTCACCATTCTACGCTGCTCAACTTTGCTGATCAGTAGTGGGAACAATTGAGAGTGACTTCCTTCTGAGAATAGAATAGAATATATTAGAATAGTTCGGTTGGAAGGGACCTACAACAATCATCTAGTTCAACTACCTGACCAATTCAAGGCTGACCAAAAGTTAAAGCATATTGTTAAGGGCGTTGTCCAAATGCCCCTTAAACACTGACAGGGATGGAGCATGGACCACCTCTCTAGGAAGCCTGTTCCACTGTTTGACCACCCTCTCAGTAAAGAAATGCTTCCTTATGTCAAGTCTTGTCATGCCTGAAGAGCCCTAGAACACAAAGTCTGGTACCTGCCTACAGGGGATTCTTTGTTGGTCCCTACATATGTCGTGGTTTAGGCCGATCTGGCAACTAAACTCCACACAGCCAGTCTCTCACTCCAGTAAAGTGGAGAGGAGAAAAATATAATAAAAGGACTGAGGGTCGAGACAAGAACAGAGGGAGCACCCACCAACCATGGTCCCGGGCAAAACAGACTCGGCTTGCTGAAAGCAAAACAATTTATTAACAGCTACTTAAAAGAATAAAGTCAAGCAAAACCAGTTACTTAAAAGAATAAAAAGAAAACAAGGCCAGATCTTAAAATCAACACCTCTCCACCCCCCTTTGCCTTTTCTTCCTGGCTCTACCTCCTCCCCCCAGCGGTGCAGGGGGGCAGGGAATGGGGGAGTGCAGGTCAGTTCATTGCATGCCGCTTCTCTTAAAGGAGGAGGAGTCCTTACACCATTTTCCCTTGCTCCAGTGGATCCCCTACTCACGAGGAAAATCCACAAACTTCTCCAGCGTGAGTCCTACCCACAGGATGCAGTCCTTATCCCATTGGATTTCTCCAGTGCGGGCTTTACCACAGTCTTGGATTCTTAGGCAGTCGTTGCCACTCGCTCAGGCGTGGGTTGTCATATAGACTTTAAATGCGTCTCTATACAGACTTTAACTATGTAAATGTGTCTCTACCTGTGCCCATGATTCACAGCTGTCCTCGGGCTCAGGCATCTCCTTTAAACAAAACACCTCCCCATCGACATCAGTCATCCCACGGACTCTAGATGCGTACCGTCCTCAGGCTCAGGCATCTCTTCTCGACGTGGGTTTTCCACGGGCTGTGAGTGGGTCTCTGCTCCCCTGGGACCACCTTGGCTGCAAGGGGGCCACTTGCTCTCTCGCCACTGCTGACAAGGGAAACTCAGCTCCGGCACACCTCGTCCCATTCCATCTTCACTGACCTGGTGTCGGTGTGGCCGTTTCTCTCAGATCTCAGTCCTCTCTGGGTGAACTCGGCTCAGTGGGCATCCCAGGAGTGGGGCTCTCCCCGAGTTCCCCAAGCGGCTCCGCCACTGCCATCCTCAGCAGGTGGCACCGGCCCGGCCTGGGCCGCCGCCCGGCCAGGCGCCTGGGGAGCGGGGGCAGCACCCCCTTCCCCTCTCCTTGCCCGTGGGCAAAGGGCACACCTTTCCGGTTCCTTTGTCCCGACGTAAATACGGCAATTCGCAGAGGCGCTGATTGGCTCAAGCCCCGAAGGGGGTGGGAGTCCGGTCTGATGGGCAGCTTCTGCCACCGCCTTCCCCCGCCACGTCAAACCGTGACAACATATCAGGAGGCAAAAGCTGAAGGACAGAATATATGCTGATTGGGTTGATCTTTTCCCATGGAATAGTGATTTATATAGTGCACAACCCACTTTTAAGACCATCTGTGTGCTGCTTCCTTTTCAACTTCAACAAAGATGGTCCTGATAGCTTTCATAACACAAGGAGAAAAAGAGCCCGGTGTCCTAGGGCCTTTTTAAACCACTACAGAATTTTTTTCTACAATGTGAAAACTTCATTGCTGTACCAGATTATCAAATCAAAGAACAGATGCTGCAGTATTGAAAGAACTGCTTTATCTTGGGTTGATGTACCTATATTAGTAGATATGTAAAAGTAAGATGATTATGGTTATCAAACCTCAGGCTTGCAGGGTGTGGTTCATGATTGGAAGAAGATGAGGAAAAACTTCTCCTCCATGTGAAATGTTCCCCTGTTGGCTGGGCAATACACTGGGCAGTTGTCCTCTTGAAACAGGGAGTGTAAGCCATGGTGCAAGATGAGAGAGAAATGGTTTGGTTGGTATAGATCCTCATTTTCTATGTAACAGATAGACAAGCAAAAAAGGAAAAAAGGTACTGCCATGTCCGTGATTGTTTTAATTCTCTAAATATGCCTAATTGGAATGGGAGGGGAGAGAAACACAACTGCATTGCTACCTTGCAGGTTAAATTCTGTCAAGATTTTCTTGACCAGAGTGCTTCAGCTCTCAGGTCCTTAAGCTCCTTTCTCCCTCCCCCACCGCCAGCCCAAACGATTATCTCCATGTCCTGGCTCAGTGCCTGCAGCTGAGGAATGCACGCAATGTGCTTTGAATAGTTTGGTTTCAGGTAGCATCAAAGTCGCTTTTTCATTATTCTTTGACTGTCTTGGAAGAGATCTAAGTCCCTGTCTGTGTGCCAGAAGTTAACCAAAGGTATGGCAGGCTTACTGTCAGAATGTACTGGGACAGCTGCGTTATGCACTTAAGGTGGTTTTGACTTTCTGTGGAAAAGGAACCCCTGGAATTTGCAACACACCTACGATCTAATTTGCAGCTCTGCTATGCTGGTGCCTCTCTGCAGCTAAGGTGGCAAAAAATACATTAACACTGCTGAACAAAAAAGGAATAGCGAAATTGCCAATTAAGTCCTGGGACAAATCCCTCTAATAGGATGCAGGAGGAATACAGCCATTCAGCTGCCACAGCTGCGACACATGGTTTCTTGCCTTCTCAAAAGCTCTGACAGGGTTTAATGTACTCAGCAGTGGAGGTGGTTGAATCTTTTCCACTGTGGTTTTTTTTTTGTCAAATTCTATAAAGGTTTTGACCCTTTACAGTTACTTGTTCTGCTCTATTTTCGCAGGGCTGCTGGCTCTGCGGCCCTTGCTCACTTCAAGGAGTGTGTTATTGCATGTGCTTGTCCACTGCAGGAGACACGTTCAGCAGAGGACGTTAGGATGTGTCATGTTCAGCACTGCAACAGCTATGATTTTGGCACCCAGCTCGAACTTCACTTTAGGCACCCAGCAATGCTTCTGTGTGGGGATATGGGAAGGAGACAGGAAATGAAATTTGAAATTAGTGAGAAAGAAGGACTATAAGCAATTTACTGGAAGCCTGTTTAGATTGTTGTCATTATATTCCTTACTATTGGTAGTTCTGTTTCAATTTTACCCCTCTAAGCATCAATAGATGCTTATACAGATGGATTATCAGAAGTTGCTGATAATTTTAGTGCTGTGGTCTAAATTTGCTCTGAACAAAGTTACTGGGGAGGTGATTAAAATTCCAGCAGCATGACTGGGTAAGAGGCACCAGTGATATCAGGGTGAGGAACTGACAAGCAGGAAGAGAGTTAATCTTGGATAGCTCATTTGTTAGCGGGGAGAAAGATCCTCCTATTTCAAATTGGTATTATACAAGTGTTAGACTGGAAATTTTAAGTTAGCAGTACCCTTCTTCTGCCATTTTATTTAAAGATAAGAGCATTATCAGCAAATCCCAGGCTCTTAGGGCCACTGCTGGTCCGTTGCAAGACACATCCAACCATGTGTGACCACACCAGTGTGTGCCAGTGACCTGCCACAGGCTGGCTCTAGACCACTTTTGAGTCATCAGTGGCTAATAGATCGCTGGCGTAAAACATTTACAGCATAATCCCAATATAAATGTACATTACTATTCTTTCATCATTAGTTATATAGGCAGCAATTCATCAGTCTTTCCCTGTTTAAGAAAGTGTTCAAGTATGTACTTAATTATAGGTGTATGGTTACACGCTGTTGGCTTCCAGGGACCTTTGATACGTAACTGAGGTCAGCAGTGTACTGCTGTAGGGGTGTAAAAGAGGGCTATAGCAGGGCCAAGGCTCTGACCATCTTATATAAGCTAGAAGTTACGTAAATAGGAAATACCTATCTCAACAAAGTTTTATTTTAGCATTCATTGATAGCATGGAACATTCACACAAGATGATCTGCTTTTTAAAAGACAAAACTAAGAATGAATGTTACTTAACAGTGCTTTTAGAATCACTCCTTATTTTTTGCCTTTTTTTTTTTTTTAAGTGAGTAAACTAACCTATGAAGGGTGTTGCCTTAACTGACCACATGCTGCAGCACAAACCTTGATTCAACCTCACAGCATCTGGGAAATGATGTTTCACCATTTTCTCAGTATTTCTGCCAGCTGTATGTTGCTGCTGCTGAAGTTGGAATTATGTTTTTACATGGTATTGCAAGTTATATTTAGCCTGCTTTTAAAGGGACCTGAGGCATCTGTTCATGCTGGCAGCTGTCGCCCCAGAGCCCTGTGGAGCTCTATGGTGGATCACCTGCAGGTAGAGTCTCAGTTTGATGATGATGGCAAGGACTGTTGGAAAATTTGTCTTACCCAAACCAAGAGACACCAACTTAAACACACCTATATACACTAAGCCACATTAAGTCCTTATAATGTGATTTTCATCTGTTAGCATGTATGAGGTAATATATATTATCT